TGCTCAGGAGCAGGTGAGCAGGGATTTCTGTGACCATGGCTAAGCTTTTGGAACATTCTCCTTAGTAACTACAGACAAGGTTTGGGGACACCAGGATGAGAGTTCCTGTTGAGAATAAAGCAGGGGTGAGCCGTGGCAGGAAGGAAGGAAGAAAGGAAATGTAGTAGGTGAGATGCCTCCAGGGATGTGTGCTATGGAGGGAGATTCTTAAAGAGCTACCAGATCCGGGAATTGCGTTGATGTGAGTTTCCTGAAACAGACCCCTCTGTAGATTTGACGTTTCCTGCTTGGTACTGGAGTGTCAGGAATCCCCAGCAGCTGTGGTGCTCTGCTCCAGAGGAGGGGTCAGCTACAGCAAGGTACCTGATTTGGGCCAGAAATGGGGTTTGGGAGAATAGGCAGTGAGGTGTTCGGCAGAAGTTGACAGCCTCAGGCAGCAAAATCAGTTTTTCCTTGTTGGGGGAGCCCGCTTCTCCTCTGGGATCTTAACTGCTGAACTCATGTGGGCTGAGGATCTGTAGCTGCTGCCTGAATTTCATTGGGAAGTCAGGGAAAGGAAGTAAGATTGTCAAATGGGGTGTGATCACTGAGATTGGTCTTTAAAAAGAGAAATAACAATTGATGCGGATTTGGTCAAAATGCACAAAGTGTTCCTGAATTTGGAGTGCTTAATCCAGCCACTGTAGGGTTCTAATTTCACATACCTTGAAATGTAGCATCCCAGGTATGTTGAATCTGAATTTACTGACAGGTAGAAGAAGAGTGCACTTTGGGAGGGATCTCCTCCAGTTCTGACAGCTGCAGCCTGGAGTGCTGCTGGAGCTAGGCACCAGCTGGGATGTAACACAGCAGGAAACACAAACACCAGACCCACAGTACCATTCTAGCAGTATCAAATGATTAAGAGAAAGATGTTGAAGAAGGATTAGAAAAAAAAAATTATGCCCATTTCATCCTTCAGTTCCCATGCTGGTATTTAACCAAATGAATAAAAAATAGTGGTTGCCATGTGGAAGATGGCACAAGTTACTTGTGCCTAAGCCTCTCTGCTGGTTGTCTGGAGCAGGAAGCTGTGACTGGAGGCAGGCTTGGGCAGGTCTTCTGGAGTGCAGGTGTACCAAAACACCAAAACTTGGAACCTGACTTCAACATAGCTTCAATATGAGTGCAAGATCTAGAAATTTCATCTTGCTTTGATGCTTTGGGCTGTAGTCAGTAAGGATACCACATCTTAAAACAGTATTAATTCTGCAGTTTGGCAGAGCTGTTCTGATCAGAACTGGGTTTCCTTTAATACATCCAGCATTACCAAACTAGTGTTACCAGTGAGTTTAGAGTAAAAGGGGTACAATTACAAAGCCAGCATTTCTAAGGAAAAAAACCAAAACTCTAGTGCCTTTTTCTTTTGAGCTTATGATGTTATGTCCCTTCAGAAAAGGTAAGGGCTATGTCCTCTGGGATGTAATACTTTGTTTGGCTTATCTGTAAGTGGTTTGTTGTGGCAGACTTGAGACAAAACTGTCTCTTCTTGGCAGCAGTGGAGCTAACTGCAATGTGCTGAGTAGCTTTAATAACCACTTCCACCCTATATGCATGTACATGCAGCACACCAAGTTCATAAGGTATAAACCCTTGGTTATTTTCTCTGTCCTACTCCTTTGGGAAGGTAGCTCAGTTTTTCTTTTCAGCATTCTAGTTATGCAATTTGGTTCTTCCTGTAACTTGTTACCTAACTGCCATAACATGCTGTTATGAAGCCTCAGTTCTGCATGTAGCTGGGAGTTTAAGAGAACTGTTTCGGTTTTGGTTCTTTTGGGTTTTTTTTCCCCTCAAATCTGTGATTTTCATGTTTCTACACTGTTTTGGCACATCTAAGTTAAACTGAAGCAATAGCGTAAAGCCCATCCGAACAATAACTTAGGAAAAGATCTAGGCACCAATGAGTCATTTAAATGTTGAAGTGAATTCTGCATTTACACTTTGTAGCTTCTTAATTCCTCAACCCCCCCAAAATGTTTCTTTGGTGCTAGATGTAACTTATTAAACATCAAAATGAATGTAAAATAAAGTATTTTTAATGTATGCAATATGGATATCAATATTTATTTTGTACTTGCAAGCTAACTCAAGGTGGTAAATGTTTGCTTTAGCAAATACTAGTCCCTTGGAAAGGGCTTCCCTAGAAGCAATGTCTCATTGTCAGCTATGCTTTTAATTTTAAAGGTGACTTGCACTAGAGGATGCTGCTGTTCCATATTTCACATGGAACTGATTTAGTCTAAGCATTCCTTTGTTATGAGCTGCTGGTTTTCTGTTTGCTTATAAACTGAGATGCAGTTAACGTTAATCCAGCAATTTACTACAACTATGCTGCTTCTCTTCTGTGGTGAGGGGGCTGAGATGACAAAGAGCTCTTTCAACTTGTATTTTGTGTTGATCTGGAAGTGCTTCCTGTACTGTACAAATAACCCAGCCTTCATGTTGCTAATGACAAAGGTGTTTTATATGCTTAACGCTCTTGACTTTTCTAATTAAAGTTATTACTAATGATAGTATCTGTCTTAACAGCATTGATGTAAGCCTATGAAAAAGCAACACTCTCTAAGCTGTTTAAAATCCTGACCTTGTGCTCTGGGTAGGGGCTGTGCTGTGTGTCCTGTCCCAGCGCTGTGTTGGAGGGAGCTGTGTCTCACTCCGTGTGCACTGCCCGGCGCTGGGCTCACACGCTGCAGAGTATTCTGGCTGCAGCCCCTCCTGCCCCCTGTTCATGGCAGGCACAGTGAGAACAGCGTCTGGGGGTTTGCACTAGTCTGTGACCATGAACTGCCTTGGAAATCACCCAAACTAAGCACTCTGCCATTATTCTCTTGTGCAGCTGCTGCATTTGATTTCTTTACAACTGGAACACAGGCTCATGAAGCCTTCTGATTTTCTCTTCTCACAAAATGTTTCTGCTTGTGGCCCAGTCACTCCTAAGTGATGATACATTAAATACTATGAAGCAAGATGCCCCAAGAGCATGTTCAGCTGATCAGCTTCTTTCTTCCTTAAAGGGAATGTTGCATTCATTTGATGTTTACATTTGTAGCTGTGCCAGACACACAAACACCCGTGCTGAAATCACACAAAGCCTAACTGATGTTGTGCATACAGCATTTTACTAGATTTTTGCATTGTGTATTGGTAAATAAACTTATATTAAAGTTTCTTTCTATGATTGATTTAACAATAATGTAGCTTGGGCAATGAGGAAAATGACTTAAGTCTTTGCAGTAACAAGTGGAGATGGATTGTAGCTGGATGTGATGGGTGGAAATGTAGTGTTTATGAAAGAGCTGGTAAAGGTGGTAACTTTATTGGATACTTAAATTTCAGAACTACTTTGCTGTTCTTAAATTTCATCAGTGCTCCTTCCTGGGGTACAGCAGAGTGCACAGGTTGGAGCTCTCCATAGGCTGACCCACTCTGTGCCAAAGCCCCTTGGAGGACAGGCCAGGGAGGGGGAGCCACTTAAATGAGAGACTCAAGTTACCAGCTTTAAAGGTGAACTTGTGCTGAACATTTAACAGGACCTTGTGTTTAAGAACACCTGAATAAACTGATGTAGTCCAAAAATGACAGTGTGTGTGAAGCACGGGGAAGCTCGATAACAAAATCTTCATCTGCTAGGGAATAAAAGTGTGCCTTTGTTTTAACTCACTTTTGAAAAAACTTCTATACTAAGGACCTTATTACATTTAGTTTAGATCCAGAGGGTTTGGGAAGGGACAAAACAACACATGACAGTTCTTAAAAGGTACATAAAATGGTCCCTTTTTGACATCACTTGTGAGAACAGGTCCCAATCAAAGTGCAACAAAACCATTTCTTCAATCCTAATTCACACAACTACAGTGTGCTCTTAAACCCAGATGGAGGAAAGATACTTCCAAATTCAATTTCAGTATATGGAATCCCCTATTTTCCCCTGTATTTTTAAACTCCATCTTTGCATTTTTTTCCATGTACTTGATTAGTTTAAAAAAAATTAACATTGTAGTTGTCTTCACACATCAAAAAATTACTCTCCTTCCCCTGCCCAGTTGAAGCATTCTTTCTAAGAGTTGAAAAAGAATGAATATGTCTAACATGGCTAACCTCCAGTTCTATGCACTTAGGCTGTCCCTGGTTAACTGTTTAATTCCCATGAAGGAAACCAGCACTGGGAAAAATGTCTTAAGGAATGAGTAATCACTTCTTACAATGAGTAGGTCCAGTGTTCAGTAAGCTCCTGGCAACTCTGCATCTGAACCACAAAAATATTATCAATAGCTGACTTTAAGGTAAGAAGCTCCTTAATCCACAACAACCAGAAACATGGTAAAAAATTCAGAAGTACTTTTTACAGGGCCTACTAACTTCCCTAAGTTTGAAGATTCTGTCCTGTCTGTTAATAGTGTGGACTTTCAGGATACAAGAGGAGGGATCCTTTGTCAGTTGTGTAATTTGCCAGGTTCCACCCACTCCTATATCCAGGTGACCACACAAATGTCATTCAGGTACTGAATCATGTATTATATTTTAGCCTGATTCTGCAGGATTGGGAGCAGCAGTAGAGTTAGACATGGCAAGAGCTGAATGGGGAAAAGTTCTGGTTCAACCCAAGATCCATGCTGAGTAAGAAATAAAGAAAATGAAACTAAGTTCACACTTTCATTTGAGCCACTTACATGCAATTATTTATGTAAACCTAAAAGAAATCATATACCAAACTGTCAGCAACTCACTTCTTCGGGTGTTCTGGCTCTCAGCAGGATTGTAAGTACAGTTTGCGTAACAAACTGATTTCAAAGCTGGAAATTACAAGACTATAAAAATAGTTTAAACCAATTTATACAACATTAAATTAAAAATCCAGAGATAGGATAAATTCTAGTGATTCTTCAATGCCATACAAGTATTGGATGGTTTTCTTGATTCAATGTTAGTACAGGACAAAAAGGCTGAATAATTACAAAAGATATCTAATCTCCATTGCCATTTATTTACAGGTCAGAATTCACACAGGTTTCAGGTGTTGAAAGATTACTTTTGAATAGACAAAACAGGGCATTTCTCACATCAGTGTGTAAAAGCTGATGGGTGCTTGCAGAAAGCAGGTTGGTTGTACTACGTCACCCACTTCTGCAATGTGAGACTGTACAAAACCAAAGAAGTGTTCGAATCACTATCTGCATTTTCAATCTACACACAGTGATAAACCTGAAATTGCAACACTCTTGTGAGCATTTCATTATTTCCAATTTAATTCACCTTCTCAGGAGCAATAGTTGTAAAAAAACGTTATCTAATCTAAAGCATCGGAGGGCTTAATTAATGGCTCTTGTAGTTCACACTGAAGAAGAGCTTATGGAACAGTGATGTTGAAGGCCACTAAGCAGGAGAATTTCATCAGTTACTTCATTTTCACTGGGAGACCTCAACCAACTCATTTAAACCTCTCAGGGAGCAGAGGAACGAGGGAAGCATGGTGTGAGAGAAAAACCATCCAGCTGTTTAATAGTTGTATGGCATTTGAAACTCTCAGCTTGAGCAGCTAAGCGTCTTTCACAACACCCACCAGGGCGGGCCGCAGCGTGCGCCCGTGCAGCTTATAGCCAACCTTGGATACCAGCGCGATAGTGCCAGGCTCCTGCCCCTCCACGGGAGCATGGAACAGCGCTTCGTGTTCATAGGGATCGAACTTGGCTCCGACAGGGTCCAGTCTGAGCAGGCCATGCTTTTTAAACACTTTCTGAATCTGTATTTCTGTCATCACAAGACCTTCATATAAGTTCTTCAAGTGAGGGTTTTCATCCTTAATTTCTTCTTTTGGAACGCTTTCTGTTGCTTTCTCCAAAATGTCTGCAACTTCTAGTAAGTCCTTACAGAAGCTCTGGATCCCTGAAAAAGTATAAGGGAGGAGAGAATGGGATTAGTCCACTTAAGGAAACAAGAGTTAAAATTCCCCAACCTCGCAACCCCAAAAGCTACAGCTATAATCTACACTCTTAGGGCTTTTAAGAAGATACGTGATACTGCAATCATTTGGAGTAAAAATCCTTTCTGGTTTTGGATGATAATAAAGAACTATTACAAATACCTTGAAATCTACACCAATCTCCTCTATTTTACGGAGGAAAAAAGTGTGATTTCAACTCCAAAGAATTAAGTTATGCTAATGACCTAACAACAACAGTTAAAATTCTTACCAAAGTTACCAAAACCTTCAGGTGACTTCATGTAATTTCCTCATGTCTCTCATCACCTAATGATCATAATGTTCATAATGCCCTATTCCTACCTATTAATCTGATGTCATAAAAAGATTTGCAGAAGACAAAGCATGTAATCAGACTGATGAGGATTTCAAGAGATGAACAAGGATTCTTCCCTGAATGAAAAGAACTTGCACCTCTCCCTCACACTACAAATCTCTTTTACAGAGTCAGCAGCTGTGCCTTGAAAATACTGAGCAATTTCTAAGTTAACCATAATCCTTTTCCTGAAGCTTTTTTTTTTTAAGCCAGTCAACCTTTTTAATTCTAGTTCACATTTTGGATGGTTTTTTTTCCTTACCAAGAAGTGGTATGACCATTACCAGAGGCCAAGTCTTTGTTTTAAACAAAAAACCCCCACAGCTATGGAAGCACAAGATCTGTGGAGATCACCTAGTTCTCCAGAGAGGGTCTCTGTAACAACTGCACAACTCTGTAGAGACTCAAGCTCTTTACAGTAACCAACAAACAATGTCCAAGTAGTTCCAAAAATCTGAAAAAAACCCATCATGGTTTCAAACTAAAAACTAGAGCTGTGGTAGGGGTTGAACTGTACCAAATATAGATAAATTAGCTGTCTAGTTATCTGGATCAAACCAAATAACCAAACCTTTCAGACGGTGGTTTTGTTTGTTTTTTTAATGTGTAAGTTGTATTTGCAAATATCCGTGACTGCAACTCAGAATTTATGCTAGTCTCAGAAATGAGTTTCTCTTTTTTCAACAGAAAAAGTGGTCATGCACAAGCAGTAAAACTTACAGATTATATGTAATCTAGTTTTCAAGGTAAATTCATTTCTGTTGTAGCACCTCTGAGTTCAGACATGAGTGCAGGTCCTTTACGGTAAGTAGATCAGTGAAACAACGCTTACTGCAAATCAACCTCAGGATGAAGCACTCAAACATCCATGAGAAAGAATGCAAGAGTACTACTATGTACTTTTTCTCACAGTACACATTAACTGAAGACCCTGTATTCAGAAATCAGAACTTGAGTACTGAGAATTAAACTATACAGCTGTGTATGGTGCATGGTGAAAAAGAGTAATTCATTTTTTGAGGCAGCGTGGCAATCAAACACCAGGATAAAACAGCACACTGCTGCAGCAGCATTTGCACACAATTTCTGTTTTACAGATTTGTGTTGGAAATGTCAAAAAGCTAAATCAGATGTTACTAGCCTGGCTCTTGAAGGAAGATGTGCTTCTAGCACTTCTGTCAGCCAGAGATTCTGCATTCCTAGCACTGAAAAGAATCCATTCATTTAGAGGCATTACTTCTATTTAGAAGCTATCGCCTTCAACAGAACAGTTATTCAACTGTAAAAGGCTAAAAAAAACAAAAACCCATTAAAATATCCTGAAATCAAAAAAGAAGCAAATTCAAAAAAAACCCACTAACAACAAAAAACCCCAAATAAAACCAAAAAACCCCAATCAACCAAAAAACCAAACCAAAAAACCTCAACCAACAACAACAACAAAAAAAAAACCAAAAAACCAACCAACCAAAAAAACCAACCAGCCAACCCCACAAAATCCCCCACCTATACACCCCCCTCCCCAAAAAAAACCCCAACAAAAACCAACCCCAAAAAAACAACCAAAAACCCAAACCAGAAGGCAAACCAATATTCCATGCTCTTGGTCAGATCTGAGACCGAAGTACATGAAAAATGCAAAGTTCAGGCTGCAAAACTTACTAAAAAAAAATCTACTAATGCAGTACACATTGTAGGAAACCAGATATCAAATTTAAAGAAAATGTCAGCTGTTGACTTCAGCAGTTTAAGTCTTGCCCTTTGCTGGAGGAAATGATCATAATTCTGACACAAATTGAGGAACTCTGCCTCAAATGCATTTTTTAAGCAAGTAGTCAGAATCACTGGGAAGTACAACTCGTCAATACTGCAAGGCCAGTCAGCTTCATTTTTCCAGGCTTTGCATTTTCCGGGTCTTACTGAGGAAACACCAGAGGAACCACCACTGACCGTATAACTTTGCCTCTTCTACCAGTTTCTGGCTCCTTTGCCTCACGTTTTCTGCATCTGCCAAGGCACGCTTGTACTTGTCCTAAAGAGAAACCAGTAACAGAAGTTATTCCTCCTAGTCAGGCAGTTGACAGTAATTCACACCAGCATATTCAGTACAAACCAGCATTTTAAACAGTTTCACAGCCTGAATCCACCATTTAGGGTAATATGAAACAACATGCCAATTATCATACCATCCCTCCTACTAAGACAAAAGTTTGCTTCACTTCACAAGCACAGAAATGAGGGAAAGGAAATCAGATGGTTTTCTCAGCCTTTAGAAACTATGAAGCCTAACTCCTCTGACATTGAGATCAAGTTTTGGTCTATTCCTAGAACTACAGCAATTTACCAGCAGATGTACAACGATGTGAAATAGAATGATATTAAAATAAAAATTCACACTGAGTACTTCACCAACCAATCCCAAATAGCTTCCACCCTGAATATGCTTGAGCTTTCTATGCCATTGAAGAATCTCAAAACAGAATAAAAATGGTCAACAAGCTGCCTGAAGAGCTGCATTAGGCAATCAACAGCAAACAAAGAAATTAAATGATATCTCAAATTCTTCCTGTAGAGCTTTGGGAAGAGCAACAGAAAGCAAACTCAATCCACGTCTGATCCACAGATGCTGGTTCTATAAAAGCTTCAGGGCTACCTCTTGAAGTCTCAAATGCTCCAGAAAGACATTTTATATAGCGCACTTATTAATGTCTTTGCTTAATGCCCACCTCCCACCTCTCAGGGCATCCTTCAGCTGTTGGATTATGCACAGGAGAGAACGCAAGACGGGGCCACACAGAAGGGATGTGATGTTTCACCCTTTGAGTCTGAAGGGCTCTCCAACAGACAAGGTTTGAAATTTCCTAACTACGGCCTAAGTACACTATTGTATAAAAGTTAAGCATCATTAAGTCTGACCTTTGGAAAGTCAGCAGCTGTTTCCATAAAGTCTACTCTTAACACACACAAATACACACACCAGAGACACATTCACACCCTTCCATGGCTCCCAGAAATTACTTCTCCACTGAGCAAAACCTATGTGAAAATCAGCAATAAATTTTCAGGCTGGAAAACGTCCAATTCCATCCAGAAAGTGAAAATAAATTATCCACAATCTTAATTTTGGACCAGGGATGCATGGCAGATCTTGTAGTACATGTACTCTTAAGTTTAAAGAAATTATGAAATTGCAGATTTTATACAACTAAACAGGAGTCACAGAACTGTATCCAGACTGTGCACTGGGAACTCACAGTGCAGGCTTTTGGGCATACAATTTGTAACACGTGCAACCTAATAACCCAGAAACACTTACATTAACTTCTTTTAGTTGTTCTTCCAGTTTGGCCTTTTCTTCAGCTAGCAGTTTTTCAGCAGAGCTGGGTTCCACCTTCTGCTCATTTTGGCTCTGATTCTGGTCCTCTTCCAAGTTCTGGCCAGTATTTTTCTGCTGTGTTGCTGCACAAAGCAGTCGTGGAGATGTTCTAAGGCAAAAAATATGAACATTATTATTCTGATGCTTATTTTGTAAGATACCAGAAGATGTCATCTTCTAGACATACGAGACACTTTGACACATAATGTCCACAAAATTCTCGTATCAAAGCACGAATTCATACAATTCTAGGCTTGTGAATACTGCGTGCAGAACCCTCCGTCACAAGCAGCAATCTCCAGCCAATTAAACTGTAGCAGAAAACAACTGCTGCAACGTATCAGCTTGTAAGCATCCACTACGTTCAACCTATAGTCACAGAACTTTTATGGGCAGTATGCGTTTTCAGAGCACCGTGGTCTATCTGGAAACAAATTCCGTGATGCAATCGCCGGCAACAGCCTCCCTGAAAACACACGCGGCAGAAGAGGGCTCGGCCGCTGGAGCGGCACACCCCGTGCCGCCTGTACCCGCTGTATAGCGAGCACCGCGGCAAGCACGGGCCTGTCTGCATAAACAGTGATTCTTTATCCCTTCTTGACGTTTCCGAGGCTGAGCGAGCCGAGCCACCAAGGACGAGGCTGCGGGATAGGCGCAGCGCTCACACGAGGGCTCGTATCCCCGCCCGCCGCACGGACACTCCGGGCCTGGAGCTCTCCAGGCTCCCCGCAGTGCCGGGCCGGGCCGGGCCTCTCTCCCGGAGAAGGGCAAGGGAGAGCAGCGAAGAGCGGCGGGGGATGGGGGGCGGCCCCGGCCCGTCCCGGCTGTGGGACGGGGCTCCCCAGGGCTTGGGACACCGGCGCGGCGGGACCGAGCCTCGCCCTCCTCCCGTTCCGGCGGTG